GCGCGTGTATGTGGTCTTGCCCAATGACGATCCGGAGCACAAGAAAATCTGGGGTGCGCGCATTTGGACCTTGCCGGAGGTTTTACTCGCCGCGGACAAAATTCGATATTGTTTCTCGTCTCCACCAGCAGCGGGAGAAGGATACGATAGCCAGGTGACCTCAAGACCGCACGAGCTCACATTGACCGATATGTTCGAGAGCTTCTGGCCCGGGTCCAGCCCGGACTCGTGGAAGAAAGACGACGATGACGAGGAAGACCGCAGGCTGGAGCAGCAACATGAAGAGGCGATCGGCCACCTCATCAACCATTACAGCAACTCCACCAAACTGAGCGAATTGCAGCTGTTTACCTGTGCAGTCCAGGCCCTGGCGGAACGAGCTGAAGGGAAGTCGACCGAGGGCTACACGACGACGGACCTGGCCTACGCCGCCATGGGACTGTTGGCCTATCGAATCATCCCCAATGCCTCGGACAACGCCTTTCAAGCCATCGCTCGGCTCTCGCTGGTTAACGATAGCAACCGATTGCTAGAGCGCCTTGCCTGCCTGTGGCCGCAACCAGCAACGAAGAACGACCAGGGACAGGACCTCATTGTGGCCGGCAGCGAGGAGCTTCTGCGCAATATCGCGGATCGCGATCAATACTCGGTCCATCTCTGGGACATCCAACCTATGTGTGATGTGGTGGGCATCGGTGATGACCCATTCACGCCCACCGTTATCCTGGACCGCTGTCGAGCGATCCCCATCCGGTGGAAGGATTTCCCGAAAATCAAATATGTCAAGGACCTCAATGGTTTCCGTGCCACGGTATCGCAGAAGATCGTGTACTGCGGCGCTTGGTTCCTAGCAACTGGATTTGGCCTCTTCGCGTCCGCAATTGCGCTCCTCTTCTCGGTCTTGCCCTATGATAACAGCTACAATAACAGCGACGATCGTGCACCGCGGCGGCAGAACGAAGTCCAGCCGGCCATGTATCTTCTGGGCGTGGCTTTGTTCATGAGCTGTGGATGGGTTATCTCGTGGTTCAGTCCGTGGGCGGTGCGACAGCTCTGCAACGGCGGATACACGGGCGTCTCATGCCATTTGGTCGGGTTTGAAGGAACTATGCCACTGGGGGAAATCGAGAAGGCCATCTGTGGCTTCGACAATAACCGTTTCTCCTATGCTGCCTCGTCGACCATCTTCTCCAAAAACCTACGCCATGCCAAGGTACGAGCCGGCAGAGTCCCGGGCGAGGGAGGTTGGGCGGCAGAAGCCGAGCGCCTCGGAGTGCCTCCGGGCCACCGCCTGTTCACCATCGTGGATACAGGGAACTGGACCGTGTCGGTGATTGCTGCTGAACGACCACCCGTGGTGGCCTTAATCTGTGGCCGCGAGGGCGGTATGCTCCGGGCACTCCTGTGCAGCTGGCGCTTCGAGACCAACTGTCTGTACCGCGAGTGTGTAGTGCGCATGCGGAGCTCGATAGAGCACCTGGCCACGCCGAATGACTGGCTGAAGGTCAGCTTGGCTAGCCAGGGCGATGTGGCTCGCACACGAGTGAATCACCGAAGCCTCGAGAAGCTTCAAAAGCCTGCGCCCTCTTCTCAGGTTGCTGTTTGAGCGTCAGGATAGTCGCTAATATCGTGTCTGCCTATTACGTGAATTTATAATATCATAATGCTTGTATGGCTATATAGTCCCTGCGTCGCTAGGTTTTTCAAATAAACACAAATGAACAGAGAAGATGGCGTATCATGTACCCACTCGAACAATGGGCTCTGTGCGTAGGTAGGCGTTTGATGGGGAAACCATACAATACGTGGACCTGCAGAGGGGGTGCGGAACAGGGGGTTTTAGATAGGCATGAGGCAATATGAGTGGGAAGCAGGTATTATTATCGTGGATACAGACTGAGAGTGCATGAGTGGAAATACAGAGTAGTAAGAACGTGGGATGAGGATGAGAATGACTCGGACGAACAAGGCACAAATGAGATTCTTGGAAGGAAGGCGAGGAACTCCCCTGGCCAAACTGTTCTTTCTACCTGTCCCAACAACAAGATAATGTTATGTTGCTAAACTAAACTAGTAAATGGCGACTTTGACCAGTACCTACTCTGTCTGGTAAGGACGGGAATAAGCGAGTCGGCCATGTAATCAAGTATGGTTACTCAGTGCTCACCCGAAGTTGAATTCTGATTGTTGTTCCCTTGGATGAGCATGGTGGGAATACCTTATTGATATTATGATTATGAAGACAAGTTATATTCTCGTACTGTCCAACTAAACTCTAAACATATTTTTCCAACGGTGGAGGATGCGGTCCTAGCGGAAGATATATGTAGTGATATATAATAGCAATGGTGCATCCCCAAAATATTTTCCAGCGTTAAGCTTGATCCGCTCTGGGGGAGTGTAATGCTCCTAAAGTCTGATTGATGTGTACTACAACTAATTTCATTGTATTTTATTTTATTCTTCAACTTGCTCACTAACACCCCTCAACCTTGGCTATATCTACATTCATCATCTATAATGAACCTAGAACGACGCATTGAAAAACGTCTGTGTCGAATATCTCAGTATGAAACTGCCTTCTCGTTGAGGAAAGCGACCCTTGAGCGAGGTTTCCAACTGCTGCCATGACGAAGATTCCGCGAGAAGCTGCTCGAAAGTCTCAATATATGTCTTGGTCTCGTTCAAGTGATTCTTCTCATAGTTGTCCGTGGGCAGCGCATGCGATGGAATCACATATTGAGGATGCAGTCCAGCGACCTTGTCAATGCTCTTGAGCCACTGTGAACGGAGTTCCGCCGTCGGATTCTCGGCTAGATACTGGTAGCAATTGCCATAGACCACGTCTCCGGTGATGACGGTCTTGACCTCAGGCACATAAAGCACAGTAGAGTTGACTGTGTCTCCCTCGCCGACTGGTACCGCTCGCAGCTCGTACTGCTCCTCATGATGGCCGTTCCCGCTACTCAAGTAGAAGGATAGGGTGGTGGAAGGATCGAGTATATCAAGGTTGATATCAGAAAGGTCCGGCGCCTTAAGATCGGGAAAGAGGGCAGCCCAGAATGAGGCGAAAAATCCAGGTTCGATCTGTTGGAGCATGTGGTCGTAAACTTCCTGCGTTGCCAGGACTCTTGCACCGGGAAACCGTTTTTGGATCGTGGGAATGGCGAAGAAGTGGTCACCGTGGCCGTGGGTCACATATATCCCCGTGAGCTTCCGACCTGGAATGGTGGCGTTGATCCAGTCTGCCAGTTCCTCGCCGCGTTCAGGAGAGATCGGTGCATCGACAAGTACAGCTTCATCTTTGGTAGATATCAAGGTGAATGTCGTTGGTGAGAAGCTGAGATCAGTCGACTGCTGATACACGAGGGGTAGTGGGCTCGCATGGTAGGTGTAAATTTGCAAGTCCCCCTTTTCAATGATGGGTTGAGTAGAGCATGGACTCGTGTCGCGTTTGGCAAACACGGTGCTCACTGATGTCGCGAGCAACAGCGCGAGAGATGAAGATAAATGCATGGTGGCAGGGATAATAAGATCTGGACCAAGAATGAGTACCTAGAAGCGGATAATTTGTGGACTTTATATAGTTCGAGTTTATATAGTTCGAGTAGCTCACTAATCAAATATTTGTTTATGGCAATCAATTATGTATACTGATTTATGATCAGGAAAACGCTAAAGATAATTGATGATATCAACAGAATATCAGAATAAGCAATTGATCACTAATCAAGGAGAACGCTTACTTTTGTACAATAAGCTTGTCAAAAGGTTGAGAATATGGCAGTGTAGCCCATTAGAAGTCGCTAGAACTCAAGGACCCTGGATACACCCTTTTTTTTATGGAGGAAGAACACGTAGTGGATTTCGGATGACTGCCACCTGAGTGGCAGTTTCGAGCCTCTATTTACAGTTTTGAGGCTCACAAATCAGAGAAGGCTTTGCGACACCCTAAGTAATCGCAAATATATGGCTTTTCTCCCGTATGTGTTCGCATGTGGACTTTCAGTGCGCTTGGTTGGATGAAACTTCGCTGCAATTCTCGACAGTACAAGAGTAAGGTTGCTCATTGGTATGGATTTGATAATGTCTGCTAAGCTCTGAGCTATATTTAAAGGACTTGTAACTCTCAGTATAATAATGTTTTTATAGAATTATGGGGAGTAATATATTTTACCCTTTCACAATACTCCCATGGGCGCCCAAGCTTGCGTGTAGCACTGACGTCCATGGCTGTAGCGCTAGATAGCAGTTAGCCAGTGTATTCACTGCGACGCAGCGGATAAATACCCGTCTAATAACCTCACGGGGCCAACCATCCCTTGTAGATTCTACAAAACTTTTGGCGAGGCACTACTCAGAAAAATTATGAGCTGGTTCGCCAGCCAAACAAGGAATAGTTGTTAACAGCACATGGTGGCGTTCGAATAGTCAAGCCTGCTGTGTTAGCCCTAGTGATGAAGATCTCTAGGGATCAGTAATCTCGATATCGCAATTATCCAGCGGTCTGTGCAGGGGATCCTAGTTGGTGGTTTTTCCTGTTTGTGTTGAGTAATCATTTAAATTATTCCACTCTCGAAAGGCAAATTGGCAACCCACAAAACCCTGAAAACAGCCACTGAAACTCCTTGGATGACTAGATTTTGATGAGCCTAGAACCAAACCTGCAAGGGCAAGGACTCATTGTATGGTTTCACCCAACGCCTTAGATTCCTTCCCGCCCATTTGATTCTATGAGGGAGATGAAATGTAATTAAGAAATGTAATTAAAATAAGCGGTACTCGTGAATATCCGCTGGAAATATATACAAATATATAGTACTACTATATATATTACTGATTTACGCGCAGCTGACAACATCACGACGTTAGAGATCTAAAGAGATGGTGAAGGTCAGATAAAAGCCCCCGTCTCACGACGGCGCTCCTTCTTTCCATCTACGTCGCTTACGCAGAACCAAGTAAGCAGTGACAAGTGCAGGTGTCCATATCGGAGCTATTCAGCAACCCATCAATGACTGATTGGCCGTGACAGTCAGAGCAAGATTCCAGGCTTCTTGCCAATCCGCCTCGCGGCTCTGGTCATAGAAAAACCGCTGCAGAATTGCTGCAATCTGTCCAGAGTATCGAAGGAGGGCTTTGTTCCGGACGGACCTTCTTAACAATGCCATTTGCTCATCTTGAGCGAGTAATGTTCTATTTCGTGGTATTGCAATAACGGTGCACATCCAGATCATACATTCGGCGAGGAGTGGCGAAGCCCACAATTCTGTGAATGAAGAGAGAAACTGAACGCGCTGTTTTGTCTGACGAAAAATGACTGCACATGGATGCGTACCCATGGAGCTCAGGTCATCTGCTAGACATAACAACGCCATACTGATGCATTGCTCAAGCCTATTTTCAGGTTTGAAATTTGAGTATCGCCAGCTTTCCCGATTTGTAGGGTCCATGCCCATTCCCTGGTAGAACCAGAACGAGAAGTCTTGGAGCAGGTCCGTCATCTTTTCGGTAAGAATGCCGGATCGGACCAGGACCATTAAGCCAGGGGGTAGACCTGCCATTCTCTTCTCTATATCCGGCACGGAGGACGGAGGAGGAAACGTCACCGTCGGGACGACCATTGTATCGCGAAAGAGTACAAGGTTGCTTTCTAAATGGAATTCAACCATCTTCTTGCTTGTATGCACGAGCATCGCCATGGATTGATGTTTTGCATTTGAACTAGGGTCCAGGCTAGAGGTCGAACGGCCCGGTGTGTCGGAGGCTTCGCGAATTCTTACGACATCTCGGAATCCCTTCAGATGCACCGAGCGGTACTCACTAAACCCAAGGTACTCATCAACAGAGATCATGATGCATATAATCTGAATCAGTACATCATCGACCTGACCCTTGGAGAGTCTGTAATGTACCGCTTCCAGGAGACGCTGGCGGTGGTGCAAAATTGCTTGTTCTGTCGATCGCGTGTGACTGTGATTTTGCAAGATACATAAACTGAATGCTGCCAGACTGTGCATTATTTCAGGGTGTTGGAAGGTCCATGCAAGAAGCTCGGTCGTGTAAGAGTGTTCCTCGGACACTGCCATTCCGACAACTTTTGCATCATAAGGAACTAGAACATCAAAATCTAAAGGCAGATATCAATCAAGTAGAACCTGATTAGCAGGAAGAAACAGAGCGAGCCCAGCATGAAAGGGTGCATGGACTCACAGTAACTGAGCCCTTGGTTAAGAAAGGGTCCCTGAGAGTCAATATTGATTGGATAAAAGCGATTTCCTGCAATAGAAGGACTAAGCAAAGCATTGAGAGGGCTACCCCCTGTCAGGGGCGCAATGTTTCCGAAAGGATTCCGGCCCCCCGCAGCTGCAGCCAACGGTAACGGCTCCTCTTCCTCCTGCTGCTGCTGACGGTCTGCTCCTGACGGTAAAGTGGGAGGGTCGGGAGGAGTATGATTGTGGCGGTGGCTAGTAGTATGAATCCATTGCAGAATTTTCATGCGGCCAGTCGATACCCCGGTTGCGTTGCCAAGTCCAATTTTATTATCAGCATCCTTTCGACGGCGACGCTTGACGCTAGCATTAACGGCAATGAAAGTGTTTATTGTCCGACGCGTGTTGCGGTTATCCTCAGATGATGGAGCTGTGTAAGGGATAAACATTGTTTGAACGTGCTCAGGACGCCATAGGGCCAAGGTATGACCACCTTGTCCGTGCGACGTCAAGGGATTGCTGGTCTGTTTGGCAGCGGGAGTTGACGCTGATGTGGAGGATTTCTGTTGCCGATGAGTAATCATGGAAAAAAGAGCCAATCACAGAGATAGATTATCATGCAATATCATTGCTGTACAGTACAGTACAGTGGAACCTTGTCAGGGCGCTACCTCCTTGTAAGCTGTAAGTGACCCCTAACTGTAGGATCTCGTACGAGCTTCCTGGCTAGTTTAATATATCGGATTGCGGTATCTAACTTTCCTGGCGGATATATTGTTCAAACCTTGTACCCATCTATACTCCGGTTGAACCCGGTGGTTTGGTTAGTACAGTGGGCCTTGCAGGGGTGTGAATCCTTCCAGTATCCATCGCCGCCTTCCTAATTAGTATTATATGAAGCGAAGGTACCTAGTAAGGCCTCCTATCTTAGCCAACCTAGTGATCGCCAAACATAGCTTCAAAATATCAAGTCTGCTGGCATTCGAAAGTGCGATCGGCTCGGGAGATTTGATTGGCTCGGTGGTGGATTAGGTTAGGGGTAGCGGCCGACGCTTTATTCCACAACTTCTGTGAAGAAAAGAAGATAAAAATAAATGTAACAAATATTCTCACGTTCACTAGCTTTTGGAGTTCAACTAACTCCAAGTCATATTCTCGACCCAGCGCAGTATTCTTCTAGAATCATGTCTCGTCATGGAATGATTTTCTTCCGCCCTTACAGACTCCTCAACCTCATAATTACTTGTCCTTGTTCGTAACCTTAACAACCACCCGAAAATCCTGCCATACATGACAACAATGCGCATCGCGGTCCCAATCAAATTCCTTGTTCTCCAGCTGGAACTCATACTTCAACAGCAGCTTGGCAATAGTAAGACGCAAGACGCGTAAGCCCATAGTCTTCCCTGGGCAAGCATGCGTGCCCACTGAGAATGCAGAGAATGCCCCTAGCACATCTGAATCTGATCCAGAAGTGGATGGGAACATCCAACGCTCTGGTTCATAGCGATCTGGGTTTTGGAAATACTTTGCAGAGCGGTGGATGGAATACTTGTCTACGAAGACTTTGGCCTGTTCGTAACGGACTTATGTTACTTTGGCTGTCCGGAACTTGTCTTCTGTTTCAGAGAAAAGAGAGGGAAAGAGAGAGACTCACCCCCTTAGGCACGTAGACACCATCTACCATTACGCCAGTCGAGATCCGGGCGCCGACGTCGTTGACTGGAGGCTGCAGTCGAAGGCTTTCCTGGAGGCAGGCGTTCAGATATTGGATCTGAGAGAGATCCTCATCGGTGACAACACTCTTGTCAGGAATTGCGGCCTGGAGTTCGTATTGGAGCCTTGCAAGAATCTTTGGGCGCCGCAGTAAGTGGTAGAAGACCGCTGATGCGGCGGCTGAAACGGGGTCATATCCTCCGATCCTGTTCAATTCAGGGAATTTTTTAGTCTGCAGAACACACATCTCTCCACGTGGGCAAAAAGGATTAGGACACTGACACCAGAAGACTGATATGCGCCATGCCGCGCTTCAGCTCTGGACTTCCATTCGCGCCTTTATCGGAGATGCCCAGTTTGTCTGCGATGATACTCTCTCTGAACTCCTTTCGATCTGTGAGCCTGTAGTAATGTGCAATAAAAAAGTAGATGAAATAATTAGTCGTTTCTGCTCAGTCAAAGGACACAAGAATCTGGTGAATGGCTTACTCCTGAATCCGACTGAAGGTATTCACTTGCACCCAGCGCGTATTCATGAAATAACGAACTGCCTTCCACAGGATGGTAGCAACCACCGAGGCTCCCGGCAAACGGCCAACATAAAACATCAGATCCAATCCGGCAGTATACAGATTATCCCACCTCCGAAAGGAATCAAAGGTCTCCTTGGTACTCATGGGAATTGCATGACCCAGGAAGAAGTGACCCATGCACTGCCATATTAGCCTATCGAGCCCGTGAGTAAGATTACATTTTTCCCCGCTGGAAGCCGCCGCATCCAACTCGCCTTCCAACTCCGCTAGATAAGTTATATGAATCTCCTCCTGGCTACGAGCTGGGTATGTAGCCAGGATCCCCTGGACCTGCGAACGGACACTCCTATGATCTGTCCGKGTGGCCGCGGACTGCGCAGTTGTATTCCCGATCACGACGTCGATCGCGAAACTGACGTTGTTCTGTTTTGGGGTAAATCCTTTGCTATACTCGTCCTTGTAGATATCGTCTCGTGCGTTGGGGTTTGCGAACGATAGCTCTGTTGGTGATATCCGGACTACTGGGCCTGCGATTTGGTGTTGTTAGACCAGACCATGCTCTCTCTCTCTAACTGGTTTTGTGTTCATCTGTAGCTTGCCGCACCATATTTTTCATGAAGGCCTCGCAGTTTTGGAAGGAGTCTGCCTGAGTAGCGCGCATGCATGGCCCATAGCTTTTATGTTGTAGAGTCAGTCGGAGGCCTAGAATTCGAAGAGGAGCGAGGTCACGAACTGGAGACGTTGCGGCAATTACTGGGCCTGGAAACTTCGCTAGTGGGTTGAAATATCGGTCGTAGATCACACTGATGGCTAGTATAACCGTAATACTGATCAGCAGAATGGACAACATGTTAAAGGGTATTGGTTTTGGTTGTACGTCCAGCTCGACGGTCTCAGCACTCAACAGCTGGTTAGAGTCGATGGAGGAAAACCAGCTGGGAACAGAAGCAGTGCAAAAAATAAAAGTTCGCCCCGTGATAAGGCTAGAAATATAGGAAGCGGCTTATGCTTTCTCATTGGTATGTTTGTTCTCAATAATTGCATTTATTTTATAATACCTGGTTACTTGGCTCTCTTTCGTTCATTGGTGCGTTCTGCTGATACTGTCGGGAGGCTGGGGCCAGCTACCTTAAAGCTCACCAACCTTATCATTTTCTGATCACTCATCATACTTACATTTTTGACTGTGTCTGTACTTGAATCTGGCAACACTACTTGTTCAGTATGTCTGCGTATCTTTCATGGCATTAGTGACTTCAAAGCCATACCTGTGGATGGCAGGAGAAAATCAATCTTAACTGTTTTAGATAGATCGAGATCAACAAGATCACAATATCTGATTACTCATAAAAACAGCACTCATGCGTCTACAACGAACCTCTTGTGGATAATTTATTATTTTTTTTTGCTTTTTCATGATTATTAATTGTGATCAAGTGGAACTTTCGCAGCAATGATGCCCAAAATCCTGCTATATATTCGCCCAATGTCGGTAGCCTGTGATGTCGCGAATAAGACTATGTATACCATTATATACCCTTTTACAGATTCCTCCTGCCCGCTCTATTCAAAACAGCAAACATGCGGACCGGAATCATCACAGAAAAGTCAGATATGGCAGATTCAGCTGCCGAACCAACCGTTCGTGCAGCACACTCTGCCCTTGACAAGGCGACTCAATATTCAATAGAGCAAATGAAAGAAGGCACCCACTGGTGCGGTGAGCTCCGTTCCAACCCAACAATCACAGCCGAATACGTCTTTCTCCAACAAGCCCTCGGGCTGTCAATAACCGAACAAGCAGCAAAGCCACTTATCCAATGGCTTCTATCACAGCAGAATCCAGATGGATCCTGGGGTATTGCGCCCAGCTACCCCGGCGATGTCTCGACCTCCACAGAAGTATACTTTGCGCTCAAAATCCTGCAATTCCCAGAACACCATACGGTCATGCAGAGCGCTCGCGAGTATATCCGGAGTGTTGGAGGTGTGGCCAAAGTCCGCATCTTTACTCGGTTCTATTTGGCCATGTTTGGGTTATTCCCCTGGGAGGCTGTGCCTGAGTTGCCGGCCGAGCTTATACTCATGCCTGACTGGGCTCCGATTAATATATATAGGTTTGCATCGTGGGCGCGGAGCACTATCGTACCGCTTTTGATTGTCTCGCATCATCGTCCGATTTACAGTCTTCCGCACCTGGGTAGTAAAGGGGAGCCCGCCGCTAGCACCTTCTTGGATGAGTTATGGCTGGATCCGAGTATCAAGATGGTTCCTTACCAGCAGCAGCCTGCTTCCAGTAACAGCAGCGGGGGATCAAATTGGTTGGGGACGGTGTTTCTTCTTATTGACCGGATTCTGCATTCTTTGGATGGGCTCCGGTTTTTGCCGTTCATCAGGGGTTACAGTCGTCGCAGCTGTATCAGCTGGATTCTCGAACACCAGGAAGATTCCGGAGACTGGGCTGGCATATTCCCGCCTATGCATCTGGGCTTACTAGCCCTGACTCTCGAGGGCTTTAAAATCACAGATTCCCCGGTTGTCAAGGGCCTGGAGGCTGTAGAGAGATTTTCATGGGAGGACCACCAAGGCCGCCGCATTCAAGCCTGCGTCTCCCCGACATGGGACACAATCCTTATGTCCATCGCCTTGTGCGACGCCTCCTTCACCTCCTTCTCTTCCTCCCCACACACTGAAAACTGCAGAAAGCTTCAAAGCGCAATCGACTGGATCCGAGATCGCCAACTTATCACCCAACCCTACGGAGACTGGAGAGTCTATAGCTCCAACAAAGCCGCACAAGGAGGAGGCTTCAGCTTCGAATACTTCAACACCTGGTATCCGGACGTTGACGACACCGCGGCAGCTATCATTGCTTTTCTTAAGCATGGATCATCATCATCATCATCCCTCGACAAGACCCACCATTCCGTCACCCACGCGGTGCACTGGATTTTAGACATGCAGAACAAAGACGGCGGCTGGGGCGCATTCGACATCAATAACGATGCACTCTTCCTAAACAAAATCCCCTTTAGCGATATGGACAGTCTGTGCGATCCGTCCTCCGCTGATGTGACGGGCCGCGTGCTCGAAGCATTCGGTCTTTTAGTTTTTCAGAGCCCTGATAGTGCACGTGCATGTATCAGCTCAGAACTATTTTCTCAGATTCTGAGAGCCTCAGATCGCGCAATTGAATACCTTGCTCGAACTCAGGAGTCGAATGGGTCGTGGTATGGCCGGTGGGGGTGTAATTATATCTACGGTACAAGTAATGTGCTATGTGGTCTGGCGTATTTTGTTAAGCAGGACAGCAACGGCAACATTAACAACAGCAGATATATTCCGGCTCTTACAACCCCTGCAGTGCAGTGGATCATGTCCATCCAGAACCGGGACGGTGGCTGGGGAGAAAGTCTAGAGAGCTATCGGCATCCATCAAGCGATCGGCTTGAAATCGATGATCATCCTTCCACCGCATCACAGACGGCGTGGGCTGTCATGGCGTTATTGCCGTATTTCAATCTGGCACCAGATGTTGGCACTGCCATTGAACAGGGGGCCGATTATCTCATCAAGACGCAAACGAAACAGGAACAGGAAGGCAGAGAGAGTGTATCTGGAGCCGCGACGTGGGAGGAGACGAGGTATACTGGGACTGGCTTTCCCAATTTCTTTTATATTGGATATGCATTGTATTCACATTATTTTCCGATGATGGCGCTGGGGAGGTATGTGCGCTTGGCTAGTGAGTTGAGGACTACTAGCAGTGGTGTATCAGGGAAAAATGCGATGTTCTGATATAGAGACGACTGCTGCAACATATACACTTTTCGGATGATTATATTGTCTGGGATCTTACTGATAAGTGGGTACTTCATACATAGAGTCCAATAGCAGTGACTCATAATCCTTCCATTTTTGGATCAGCGCTTCATATCGCAATGGTCCTTCTGTAAGATGCTCTGACAGCCTAAAGAACCAGATCGCCGAAGCATCCAGTGGAAAACTTCCACCTCATCTTCTGTATCTTCGCCGACTACTCTCCAGCCACATTTCGTCAGTACCTTCGCACTCGCTGTGTTGATCTTATCTGTAACAGCAAACAATGTGAACGCTTCGTCCGTCCCCAAATCGTGAGGAATGGAAGGCCCGGGGAGCAGTAGTTCCCACCATGCCGTAATGAAGCCCTGAAGCGCTTCTGTCGCGTATCCCTGTCCCCATGCTCGGGGATGAAATAAGTAGCCAACTTCTGGATCACCTGAAGGGGAGAGAGCTACAACGCCCAAAACACCAATTACAGTACCTTCCTCATCCCCTATCAGTGTGCCCAATGACAATGTAGGATTGCTCAGATTCGGTTCTTTTTTCTTGACCACGACGAAATTATAGCTCAGTCGCCCCTGTGTACCATTTTCGCACGCGTCACTTCCAGACATATACAAGTCCATCCACCTCCTCGTCTCCTCTACTGACAAGTCAATGCGTGCCTGCCGTGTCCAACGCATGACCTCTGGGACTGTCCGAAGGGAATAAAGTGCAGTGATATCTGTGTCTCTGAATGGCCGCAGCAGAAGGCGAGCAGTGTGAATCGTAGAGGTTTGAGAAAAGCTGGGCAGGTAGGGAAGAAGCATGGCGTTGATTCGACGTCGTTTCGTCGTCTATGCTGAGAAACCGTACAATTAAGGAAGCCTTCTTTTAATAAGAATTAGCAGACCTTTTCATATATACCACGCCCATAGGGAATTTGCTCACTCTTTGTTGTGTTCGAAAACGTGAATTTTATTGCCAGCTACGTGTGGAATCAAGTCTTTTATTTATGTTTTACGAGACATCCACAATTGTCGTATCGTGTGCCGTTTGGCCCCCATTACGAACACGAATATGGAACCCTGGTCAGCATTCGTCCCCACTTGAGATATAATCCGACTACACCTTGATAGTCACGCCCTGCTATTTAATTTACATGCTTAAGATTGCCGAGTAGAGCCTTATTGACATACTACCAGCATGCAAAAGGTCAAGCAATAATGCTGAAACCCGTGAGAGTGCTGTTGTGTGGGGGGTCTCCAATGGGTGTACCTGCCTAGCCAGGTATAGTACAGTTCGTATTCGAGAGTGTTATGCCTCAAGCTCGGATTGGAAACAGTCTGTAAATCTCGCAATCACCAGATAAAATCCTCTTTAAGTATTCTGAATAAGGCTTAGTTAGCATTACCTTTCAACTGTCGACGACCCGACAGGATCCGCGGTTCTCCTACCACCTAAGTTCGGAGATCAACTGAGAGAGCCTGTTGAACTTTGCTTATTTTCAGAGCCGGCTGATCTTTTTTAACGTAGATCATCGCTTGGCGCCCGATTTAACATAGGACCATGCCAAAAATTGAAGTCTTAAGCCACATACAATTTGTATTATAAAGAGATCTTCAAGGGTAATGAAACTCAGGTCTTAAAGGAGCTAGACACTAATTTTTATCGCTCCGGAAGCCGGTGGTAGCTAGATCTGCTGTTGTTGATGATTTACCTTTGTAGAGGCCTCTCCAACAACTTCAGGTGCTGGAACATCAATATCATTCTAATTCTTCGCTTTTGGAGTCGCTGGAGGCTTTTCTTGTTTGAAGACATTTGAAGCTGTATATCATGCCCTTCAGACACCCCATCCTCGTCCTTCTATTGTAGCGTCAAAGGATGCTGTATTATTCTGCAGGATCCAGAGTGCAAATTTCCGTGATCTGTCGCAGACCGTGTTTTCAGCTAGAAAAATTCGCATGTGATATATAGGCTCCAACAAAGGCGGGGCAGGCCGGTGAAACCTTCGTTCACGGCGCTGGTCTGCATCCTTATGCTTTGATATTTTGCGCGGTCCAGTCAGTTCTTGGGCAGGGAGTTCTCAACCTTATCAAGGTTGAGCAAATTCAGTGAGCTTAACGCTCAACACAATCAGCATCAGGAACGAGAAATGTCCGCCGACAAATAATAATGTAGAAGAACCAAGTCCACTTCGGGGCAGTTATCAGCGCTTCGACTCGATGGCATCCACGAGCGTCTCGATCCAAGTATCGCAAACGATTTTTGACATCCGAGCGTTCCGTGTAATGTCAAATCCCGAGTTGGTCATATTGAAATATTTCCTGGCATCTCATCCTCCAACCCCGTAACCTCAGGCCAGAATTTTAACCCATAGTCCTTGTCACGAGGTGTATTCGGATTTCCTGTCCGCGCATGGTTAGTTAGAGGCCGCTGGATTGCGCAAATAGCGGTTCTATAGAGGCCTGGAGCTTCGGGTTATACCATGTCGCAGGCATATCACTCCCATGCTTCCCATTTAAAAGGCCGTCGAGTGGGTAGGCTTTTAGAACAGCGCGTAGGTTGCAGGTAAAGAGAAGATTGGTATATAATGCAGAGAGCATTTCCTTCTTAGTTGAGTTTGCGTACAGAGATTCAAAGAGGACCGCCACTTTCATAGTCTGCTCTGTAGAGTTCGGTGGTAAGTTTCGGGAGATAAATGATCGCAGCTGGCCCTCGGGAATAGGGTCGGGGAGGAAGAGGCTTCCGTCCTCCAAGACGTAGCTAACAAGTACTGAGTCGACATTTTTCTAGGTGTTTCCTGTGGCTATTCTTAGCTTCTTCTGGAGCTTGACCCTTCCCC